ATATAAGGATGACACAAACCTGTGTCTCATCAGGGTAAATAATTGGTGCTCCTGGGTCTGTGATGGCATTATTGAACTTGCTAAATAGGATAGGTTCTGTAGGTAAAGGAACATTCTGCTCCAGACAGTGGTCGACATAGTTCATTCCAATACAAATGAGTTTTTCAGGATTGTGAATTGGAGCTTTCAGCTGAACATCCGACCTCTTCAATACATGCTGACCACTATCTACAATCCTAAAATTCAAGTATCTCATATTAGTGTCTAATAAGTTATGGCTATACTGTGTAGTATTCACTGCATAAAGTTTTATAATATTGCCATGTAATAATTTGTCATTGTATTCGTCCCTCCGCACCCAGTGCGAGCCTACATTGTATCACGTGATATCACATTAAAAGTAGTTCTATCCAACATGGCGTGTGTTCATTGATGATCTTACAGTCATCTACAATAACTAAGCTTTCAGAAAAGATATACTTTTGATTGGTTAAATGACTGGCCCTAAAGTGACGTCAAAGCAGGTCAGCCATTTGGTGTACACTGAACACCTAAATGCCCACAGCACAGCTGGAATACTTCAATTTTGCCATAAACAGAAGAAAAGACCAACATCACACAAGTTAACTCAAGTAGCATTGTCCTTTAAAGTGAGCCATTGGAAGAAGTTGAATTCTTTAATACCTTAGTATCTGTGCAGCATGATAAACTAGGTGGGGCAGATGCAGTCTATGAAAGGTTTAAGATTGGCCAAGCATGAATTATTAGTTTTCCAACTGCTGAACAGGATCTAGAACTGTAGGGTAATCAGCACCACCATCACAGTGAAACCAGGATGTATAAATTAGAGCAGAGATAGGGCAGACTACCCAAGAATCTAATTGAGAAAGATCCAGAATATCATAAACCAGTGCTTGCACAGAATCTTAATAATCTAATGGCTTGAGAAACTCTGCAATGAGAACTTAATAACAGAAAAGAGTAGAACAAGTTACAGTTGATGAGGATGTTCTCCAAAGGAGATGGAGATGGCCAGGTCTTACTCCACTGAATCCAGCATATAACAATTACTTGTCTGTACACTCCCACAGTGTAATCCACAGGGTTAACAGAATAGAGGCAGGCCAATGAACAAACGGAGATGGGATCTTGCAAAGGATATGAAGACATCTTCAGATACCTGGATGCAGCTCCCCGTGCAAAATTTTTACCAAGATCTCACCAAGATCTCACCAAGATCTTGGTCATCCCGCTGAGATTGGCAAGATCTCACTGAGATTGAGGAGATCTCGCTATGATGTTTGAGTCTTTCTAAATCTCGCTGAGATCTCATTGAGATTTGGAAAGCCACAAACATCTTACCGAGATTGCCAACATGTTGCTGAGATCTCCTCAAAACTGCCAATGGGATTGTAGAGAATAATAACCAAAATCATTTCCAGAGGGAATGAGTAATTTTCTGTGTGGAAATAAACTACTTTGTGGTTGACCATTAGCCATTCACTATTCAGTTTGATTTCAAATGCAGGAAGCACAAAAATAAAGCAAAGACATTCTGACATGGATCAGTTTTATTTACCAAACTTTTACTTGACAAAGTGGATGGAGCGATCTACTTTTTCATGGCGACAAAGAGATGTGTGCTAGTCGCTTTTTAAGATAAGAGTTTTGTTGATGTTCTTATTGAGATTTTGGTCTGTCTTTTAGCCGTTATGAGCAGGCAAGTAACTTTGAGTTACTCGATGACCATTTCAATGTATTTGATGATGACTCAATTGTCTCCAAAAAGTTATTTTTCAAATTTGGCTTTGTAGAGGAAGGAAAATTTCTTCACTTCTTTTCCTTGTGCACTACAGCTGGTGGCAGACAGACTAGTTGCGCGATTACTGCTTCCTGCCAAGATCATTAACTAAGTGCTGTGATACTGATTGGATATCTTAAGTCATGTGGGGTAAGGTACAGGCCATCCCTCGTAGTTGAAGTCACGACAGAAGAATTCACTTCAAAGTTCTTGTTGTGAGAAATTTGCTTGTTAGATTGGACTTAGTTACTGTGGAAAGAGCTGCTTCATTCAAGAAAAGAATTACGGTAAAGTAATTTCTGATGTTTTCATCGCAAGTGTGAGTGATCACAAGAGGATTCATGGAATCTTGTGCAAAACTTGAACAGTTGATGAAGATAAACCTTGTTATGACATTTGCTCTGAGGTGAACTTGTAGCCAAGCCAAA